TTTGTATTTTTAGTAGAAATGGGGTTTCACCATGTTGGCCAGGCTGGTCCTGAAGTCCTGACCTCAAGTGATCTGCCCGCCTGGGCCTCCCAAAGTGCTGGGATTTCAGGTGTGAGCCACCACACCCAGCCAGCTCTGAGCTCTTAAATGCAGTGCTTGTCTTTTCTTTTTCTGTATTGTGTAAATATAGCCCATTTCTGGCACATCGTAGGCATTCAGTAAATGTCTTAAAGTATCATAGAATAATCAGAAATCCGAGGCTTAAGTTACAATTTCTAATGCACATTACCTGTTTTTGTTTGTTTTCACTAGTTTTAATTTACGCAATGCTTTGTTTCCTATCTTTTCTGTGCTCCTGCACTACCTGCTGAGAATCAGCAATAGACTATATGTAGCTTTGGTATCATTTTTATGGGCAGTTTCTGGATAATTTGGACTCAATTTGCCCCAGCCTCCTATTATGAAAACTCTGTGGGAATCCTTCTTTCCACGCACCTTCTTGGCTTTTCAAAACCTTCTACGGAGTTGTTCCGGGAATGAATTGCCCCATGTTCCAAAACTACCACGTTTCTCTTTCCCTAGTCATGTCCCTTTAATATGTTTTCTTTTTTACATTTCATCACCAACCTCATTCATTACCTTTATATCAAAAATATTTCTAAAGATCTAGCTTATAGTTATCCTGTCAGTATGTGTGTGTGTGTGTGTGTGTGTATGTGTGTTGTCTATCCTGTACCTGCCTTCTCTAGTCCTTCCCAGCCTCTTCTTTCTTTGCCACTCTAGGCACTCCAAAGTGGAACAATGGGCCCATTTAGAGTCTTTTTTTTTTTTTTTTTTTTTGTAGAGAGGAAAAGATGCCTCTACAAAAACCGTGTGAAATTGGTGGAGTATATCTTGAACATTGATGTCTCTTTCAGTGCTCTTCTCCCATCTTTAGTCGCTACTTTTGAATTTTTTCTATTCTCTACTATAAGAGTAAAGTGTCTCTTCTCTAGTGAAGAGTAGTGTTCATTCTTTTAAACATGTAATACTGAAACACTCCTTTTTACTGAGAAATAAAGCTATCATATCTTGTTTCCAGTTCCTATTTGCCATTTTTCCATTTTTATAAGAATTATTTTCATTGTTGTTGTTTTGATTTTTTTTTTTTTTTTTTTTTTTTTTTTTTTTGAGACAGGGTCTCACTCTATCCCCCAGGCTGGTGCAGTTATAGCTCACTGTAGCCACAAACTCCTGGGTTCAAATGATCTTCTCACCTCAGCCTCCCAAGTAACAGGGACTACAGATGTGCACCACCACACCTGCCTAAATTTTTTTTGCAGAGATAGGGTCTTGCTATGTTGCCCAGACTGGTCTCAACCTCCTGGTCTTAAGCAATCCCCCCAAAGTGCTGGGATTACATGTGTGAGCCACTACACCCAGCCAATAATGACTGTTTTTAATTATAATAATGCTCATCTAAAGTGTAACTGGTTTACCTTATCAGCTCTTCTCCTAAAATTGTGATATAATGTATATTTATTTAACCTCAGAAAAAACAAGGGCGATGGGAGGTACTTGCGAGTTCTGCCAGTGAAACCTTCACCTCTTGCTAGATTCATGTAAGAGTCATATTAAAGCATTAACTATAACTTGTTTTGAAACAATTTGGAAAAGTAGAGAATGGAAAAAGACAATCCCACTAACAATGGATATTTTTTAAATGTCTATCTATCATCTATCAATCAGTAGCTTGACTCTTGCTTAGCTTAATAGTAATAACCCATAAGCATCCAAGAACAAGTAACTAATGCCAAGGATTTTTTCTCTTCTAAGAATGGGAAGGCTGAGAAACCACTGGGATAGAAACAGTAATACTCAAATCTTCCAAGTGTTTATTACAAATAGGAGATGGAGGATTGGAAAAGATTTTCAAGGGTCTCTTTCAACCTGCAGGTCGACAGAAAAACCATCCTGTACGTGGTACAGTGAAATATAATTTTTACCTCATATTTAGGAAGGAATTTTAAATGACCTTGGGATATTTATCAAGATTCATTAGCACTATTTCCAAAAACTTGTTTGTTTTATTAAATATTAAGGTTTCATTACCTGGTAAGTTCTTATGAATCTAACAACCTAAAAGCAAAGTTAAAGAAATAATCATCTTTCCTCCTTTAGTCCATTTCTTTAATAACATACTATGTCAACTGTTGATTTCTTGAGAATAGGAGCATGAGTTGTCATAATACATTCTCAAGAGCTGTTTGATGAAAGGTTTTTCTTTTATTTTGATGGAGAAATAAAGACACAAAAACTCACTTAAAATTAATGCAAAAAATAAATTTCTGAGATGGCATCTCCATATCTCCATTTCAATAATAACAATAACCAAGTCCCATGTAGAGGCCATTACTGATTTCGATTTATAACAAAATGATTTGTGCAGAAATGCCGAAATTGATATCGTATCTTTCATGTTAGTATCATTTGCATCTTTGCTTTAAAATCACACTAATTATCTGGAACTTTCTGTAAGGTAAAGATAAGTATAACATGATTACCATTATCTTCTTCAAGAGAAACCCAAACATTTAAAAGGTCATGAGTGATGCAACAGAACCAGTTTTTGAATCCTCTTACCAGGTAAAATGGGGGATCATCTGTAATCTATAATTTCAAATACATGTACATGTCATGAAAGGAATGTTTACCATTTCCAGTAGCCATCATCTTAGAAAGTAAGACTGGAAAAGCGAGTCAGAACTGGGAATGCTGTCCCATCACAGCTTGTTGGGGGGCACTCACGTGCTCTGTTTTGCCTGTGGATGCTGCTGGTAGGAATGATGATTTCTGTAGGGGAAGGGAGATTAGCTGGCCTACTGAAAATTAAGCTCTTCTTTTACCTTCTTGCCTCTTAATTTGGTGACTGTGAGATTACCAGTCAGAGGTAGTCATTGACTACTGCAAGTTAAGGCTCCCTATAAATATCTGTCTCTTTAGAACATTGGCCCATTTATGTCTTGGGTGTATTTTGTTTGGAGTAGAAAATAACTCAGTGATTTCTTTTTTCTTTCTTTCTTTCTTTCTTTCTTTTTTTTTTTTTTTTTTTTTGAGGAATGCCATGCTTTACTTTAGACTAGATTATAGTTTTTGTGGTGTTTTTTGAAGTGCTTTTATTTGATTTTTTAAAAAAGATGTGATATTTAGTGTGTTAAACCTACAGTTAATTATCTTATAGAAAATGTGTATTTTTTAGGATATTGCCTCTATTCCTTCTATGTTAATGAATCATACTTTTTAGCGTTGATGAAAGTTTCAATTTTGAGAATAGTAGACCTTGTCAGGTGTCACTTTGGGTACCAGCAAAGCGTTGATTTCAGGCAAGAAGAATAAAGTTTAAAAAAGAAAATAAATCTAGCATTTGCTTAATAATTTGCCCTTTGCAGCACCAGAATCTTATGTGACCACCCACATTCATCTGGTTACTGACGTGGTTCTTCCTTCAATTGCAGAAGCTATTTTTGCACCTTTTGTGTCTTTTGAGGAACCGAGTGGGCCTACTTGCTTATAATGATTCATGTCTCAAGTGCACAGGGTGTCCTGAAGTGCTACCGCAGTGATGTGCAGAAATGAGGGGGAAACTAAAGCAAACTACTTCCTTTAAACACTTTGAATGTTCACATGAAGTGGTACTGCAGGAAAGCACATTTTAACTGTTGTTTAATGCTTTAGTTATTCTTACAAGAGTTTTGTAGTAACTTGTCAGGAAGAAAGAGCAATTTAAAAAAAAATAACAAATATACAATTATGGGTAAATATTTTTAAGTAGGTCTTTTACACTGGGAGATAAACTCTGTTAAGATCATTGATTAATCTATTTGGATTAGGTAGTTTGACCTTCCATGCATTTCTTTGGATCATACTTGAATAAATATTAATTCTACATATCAAAAGTTCCTTTTTTCATTACTTACTAGACTTTGGAAAGTCTGAATTTTGCTTTGGTTGGGTTTGGATTCCTATTTCAGAATTTAATTTTAGCACAAACTATAACATTGCTGAAATAAACTATAGAAACAAATTTACAACGAGGTTATCTAAGACTTCACCTGCGAAGTTTAGTTGCTGATACACCTAAAGATGTTCTTTGGTTTCCAGCTGCATCCATGTCCCTACAAAGGACACAAACTCATCCTTTTTTATGGCTGCATAGTATTCCATGGTGTATATGTGCCACATTTTCTTAATCCAGTCTGTCACTGATGGACATTTGGGTTGATTCCAAGTCTTTGCTATTGTGAATAGTGCCGCAATAAACATGTGTGTGCATGTGTCTTTATAGCAGCATGATTTATAATCCTTTGGGTATATACCCAGTATCATTCTCAGCAAACTATCGCAAGAACAGAAAACCAAACACCGCATGTTCTCACTCATAGGTGGGAACTGAACAATGAGATCACTTGCACTCGGGAAGGGGAACATCACACACCGGGGCCTATCACGGGGAGGGGGGAGCGGGGAGGGATTGCATTGGGAGTTATACCTGATGTAAATGACGAGTTGATGGGTGCTGACGAGTTGATGGGTACAGCACACCAACATGGCACAAGTATACATATGTAACAAACCTGCATGTTATGCACATGTACCCTAGAACTTAAAGTATAATTAAAAAAAAAAAAAAAAAGATGTTCTTTGGAAATCTCAGCTTTATGGCAGAACCGTATCATGGACTACAATGACACAATTTCTAGTTCTGATACTTGAAGTTTTAACTCTAGCATTTCACTGTTACAGGGAATTCCTTTTAAATACAAGTATTTATTCAAAAGATTTAAACTATGTTAAAAGAAAGGAAATTCTTTCTTGTAGGGGGGGAAATAGCTTATTGAGAGATCCAGTTCCAAATTTTCTTTCCTAAAAGAAGGTAGGTTCTGTGGTGAAGAAGAATGAGCATGCTTATTAAACTCATGACAGGTGTCATCATCTTTTAAATCTTCTTGTTCATCTTTTAGATTCCCAGAAGTTGTGCATGAGCTCCTGTGAGGAGAGCTGGCATCTTGGAAATCAAAGACGGTTGTGATGCAGTTTTTTGATATGCGGATAACAGGTTAATAACTAAAATTTATTTATTCTTATTCTCGTGTTACATTAAACTTGAAAAGCTGTTTTGGCTGACCATGGGCTCATATATAAACTGATTTTGTCATCAAATCAGGGAGGAAACAATATATTTTCCATCTAGAGAGAAAAGTGTTGTTTTGTTGTATTTTGTTTTTCATAGTAGACTAGTCTTTTTTTTTTTTTTTTTTTTTTGAGACGGAGTCTTGCTCTGTCGCTAGCTAGGCTGGAGTGCAGAGGCACAATCTCGGCTCACTGCAACCTCTGCCTCCTGGGTTCAGGTGATTCTCCTGCCTCAGCCTCCCAAGTATCTGGGACTACAGGCACTTGATACCATGCCTGGCTCATTTTTGTATTTTTAGTAGAGACAGGGTTTCACCATGTTGGCCAGGATGTTCTCGATCTCTTGACCTCGGCCTCCCAAAGTGCTGGGATTACAGGCGTGAGCCACCATGCCCGGCCCACCAGTCTTAATTATAATTATTTATCATTGTTATAATTAAAATAGCTTTATTTCACAGAATTTATTTCTGACAAAGTTTATATTCATGTGAGACTCTACTTAGTAAATCCTAATAACTTTTGCTATATAATGAGAAAACATCTCAGTAGAAAGGTGAAATCACAATTTAAAAAATTATTTTAAAAGGTATAACAAAATATTAAAAGCAACATGCTGTAGTCAAAATAAATCAAAAATATCTTGACTAAATAGGCAAACTCTACAAATATATACAATGATGCCTGCATTGCAGCCCACATTGAAAAATACGATTGTTTCTCATTAGGTTTTAAATATCAAACTAGATTTTAATTACATCAAATTAGAGGATGATCATCACAATATTTTTACTTTTCTCCAAAAATTTTCTGTATTGCTTGGCAGGATTATATATAATATAGTTTTATCCATATAATGGCAACTTGCTCATTTTGGAGGGAACTGAGGTTGTTATGGGAATTTTTACTAAAAGAAGCCTTTATAATGAATTTGGCTCTCAGGAAGGTACCTTTTAAAAAATCCTCCTATGGAAATAAGTCTTTATTCAGCTGGACTCTGGCACTCGTCATGCCTTCTTTCTTGGTAGTTCCTTTTTTCCCTCATCCCATACTCTCTGAGCATGTGTGCTCTGAGCGGTGGTTGGGCAATGAGTGTCTAAGTGACTCGTGGGATCAGTGTTACCACTACGATGCCCTTAGGTGTTCATGCGTTTTTTAAAGATTTTACAATTGATCTATGGCATTTTAATAACAAACACAATGATGTCCCTTCTAAAATGTCATTCACTAATTATTACCATAAGACACATATTTTGTTTACAAGTGTCATACTACCAAATCCTCAAGAAAAGACCAAATGTTTATAAGTGTCATACCACCAAATCCTCAAGAAAAGAGCAAGTGACCATTTACATTTTAAAAAATGTTTTATTTTTTAAATGTTGGAAGTGGAGAAGCTGTGTTTGCTGCCAGTCATTTTATACCGTCATTATTTAGGATGTCATTATTTAATGCTCACTTGACTTTTGCCACCACTCAAGTAATGACTAATTTCCTGAGGTAAAGTTTTTTCTGAGATAATGTTTTTCTAAGCAAAACATCCCAGATTGACAACCTTGGGTACTGTAGGTCTTTATTCTTCTGCAGAGCAAGCCTGTCTTCCTGCCAATCCCACCCAGTCGTTATCCTGAAGAGACCTCTGAGGAGGTCCATCCAGGAGGCTGTTTCTGTGTCTTTCCTTTGGGAGCTTGTCTGAGGACATTATTTAACTGGGTACCAAACTTATTTGAGTGGGACTCTGAAGTGTGGCCAAAGGAGAGGGCACACTTCTAGAAGAATGCCAGCTCTTCCCTGTAATATTTTCTTTCACTTCAGTTCCTTTAGTTCCATTACCACCGAAATAGCCATGCAGAGGTAATCTCTTTGTTTACATGATCCCCCTCTGAAAAGTGTGATGAGCCTGCCAGACAATGTCTGTCTTTATTGACTGGAGGACTCCTGTGGGCTGTAGCAGTATCCACAGGAAACCCAGAGTCATATCCCCTGAGTTTTATTATCCAGTCAATTATCTTACTCCTTTCATAGCACTCAAAACCCACTAGAGAAAATTTTAACTGTGAATGCAAAACTGTATTTGGAATTCCGCTCCTTTGTTGGCAGTGGGTGCCAAAAATGACTTTGTGTGGGTTTGGTTACCATAAAAGGAAATATCAGTGAATAAAGTGATAACTCACTGTTTGCATATGAGAATTACTCTCCTACTGCATTTTTTGATGTATCAATTGATTAGGAAACCTGGTATATATTTTTAATGGACTATTAGAGAATCTGAAAAATGAATTGACTCTACACAGTCATAGAGAAATGCTGTAGCTATAATTAACCATATTACTATAGATCTTTATAGTTCTAAGTAGATCTCTGTTGAAGAAATTAAACTAAAATTGCAGGTAGATACAATGGTACATTTAATGATTTATAATAATATTATGAAGTCCAAAGAAAGTATTTTCCTAGACTTAATGATTCATTTAATATAGATTTCCTTCTCTAACATACTTATTAAAATGTTTTCTTATCTGTAAGCATTTTTATACATTTTAGTAATAAAATGCAAGCTCACGAATTTATGTCATTTGGAAGAGTTAGGTTGCTTAGTAAAAGTGTCACCTAACAAAACAAGACAAATGCCATTATCTAACCTTGAATTAAACTTGGAAAACCCAATTGTTTTTAAAGTGAATTTCTTTTCCTCAGTATAATTTGAGTGGAGTAGCAGAGAAACTTTCAAACCCTCCCAAATCCTGCTCGTTTTTAAAGAGAAAGTCATGCCATGTTCAGTAATAGATTATGATGCATACAATTTCCATTGCAGAATCTTTTCAGTTTCCAGGATAAAGCAGCTGTAGAAAAATGACTAATACAAATAGTCCCTATTTTTAATGGTTCATAAATATGATCAATAAATTCCAAAAAGAAGCCATCACTCACTTTCTCTCCCACCTACCTTTCTCTGTATATCTCAGAAACTCCAAGAAGAGACGTGATTTTATGGACAGTAGTTAGTCAAAGGTTCCCCAAGGATAGTGTTGGAGAGAAAAAGACATCCTCAAACATGTTTCAAATCAAATATGAAAGGTTCATGTGAAATAAGCATGATTTCTAGTTCCCTAGTAAGTCTTCCACTGAAGTGAAAAACTAGACATTGTGAATCAGAGGAGGGATCCCTGTAGGGCTGGGACCTCCAGCTTAGGCACAAAGATGGACGCTCTTCCGGCACAACCCAGGAGGGAAAGCATGGCGTGGGATATCATCTAGCTTCCTGGTAAAATGGTGGGGCATCTTGGGTAGGCTTGTCTTAGAAATTTAGAAGGAAGAGATTTTCTTGACAGAAGCTATTTGCATAATTGAGTTAAGGTTTTGAATCTTAAAAACTTTCTGGATAATAAGTGCTGCTGGAATATAGAAAGATCCTATGTTAAACTTAGCAAAATTGATTTTTTAAAATAAAATGATAGATAAGACTTTTTTCTGATTATCCTCCTTCTCCTAAAAATTAAACAGTTAACTTAATGGTCTAGACATGTTTTGTTCTGACCATGGGATATCTGATTTTGAATTTTATATAAGTCACTTTTTTTCACCTTCTGGTGTATTCTCTGGTAGCAGAATATTATTTCTGAATTTTATTTGATGCATCTACTAGATGATATGCCCTTAGTGTATAAGAATAGTTTTATTATTTTAAACCATAAAAATTAAATGTCTGATTTATAAAGGTATTACCTCATTGCTAAGTGAAAACATTATATTTTATGGAATAACTTATGAAATAAATTATTCCAGCCCTGTTTTTTATAAAATTGTATGTACTTATTACTTGAAGTTTATGCTGTTTTTGTTTTGGTTTTTTGTTTGCTTTGAGATAGAGTCTCACTCTGTTCCCCAGGCTGGAGTGCAGTACTGCAATCATAGCTCACTGCAGCCTCGACCTGCTGGGCTCAAGTGATTCTCCCACCTCAGCCTCCTGAGTAGTTGGGACTACAGGTACATGCCACCACACCCAGCTAATTTTTGTATTTTTTTGTAGAGATGGAGTTTCTCCCGGGCTGGTCTCGAACTTCTAAGCTCAAGCGATCTACCTGCCTCCACCTCCCAAAGTGCTAGGATTGTAGGCGTGAGCCACCATGCCCAGTCCCTGAAGTTTATGTTTTGAGCAAAATTATATATTCTGTGTCAACCAAAAGATAGAAAATGATACATACCTGATTTTCACTTGTAAGGTTCTTATTTTCCTTAAAACTAATGATTTCCAAGCTGGGCACAGTGGCTTGGGAGCTACTTGGGAAGCAGGGGCCAGAGGATCCCTTGAGCCCATGAGTTTGAGTCCAGCCTGGACAAGAAAGTGAGACCCCTCCTCTAAAAAAAGAAGGTAATGATTTTCAAAGAACAAAAGAAAACAGTCTGTCATGAGACTTCATTAGAGTCTTACAAGAAGCTGTTCTCATTAATACTTAATATACATATTTTGAACATTATTTAAATTATGGACTTTTTATTTCCAGGAAATGGCATTTTGGGGCCATTTTTTTGTACTACAAACATGCAGAGCTCATTTATATTCTCTCAGAACCATTAAAAGTTGAGACATTTCACATATTAAAGTTAAGTGAAAATATTTAGGTGAAGATGTTATTGAAGATGTATTATTTTAAGTTGGAATAAAACTTAATGGAGAATGGTGGTGAGTCCTCCTAGACTTAGAAGTCATCAAATTTAGATCTGAATTTTGGTTCTGAAACCCAACCTCTCTAAGAATCATTCTCAACTCTAAAATAGGTGTAATAATACCCTTAGCATAGGGGTATAATGAAGATAAAATAAGACAATGTACATGAAACTCTTTAACAGTATGTGTCAGCCCATAGTAAATATATAGTAAATGACAGCCATTATCATTGTTATAATTAACAGTGGAACTGCATGCATAGATCAATACCATGATACAATATTAAATCTGAAAAGTAACTTAGAAATTACTCACTTCAAACTCTGAGTCCTAATTGAGGATTCACTCATGCTTGTCTTGAATTGGAGATGTAGCATACTTCCGTTTTAGAGGATATTATTTACCTCTGCAAATCTGACAGAGGCTGTGTCTACATGAACCTTAAATATTTAGTTAATTAAACACAGTCAGCCAATTCAGAATCAACATTGTGTCTTCTTCTTGTTAGCATGGTTCCTGGAATTGACAGAAGTAAATTTGCATTGGAATATTATGAGGCCATCACTTCTGCTTCAGTTTTCGCCTCATTTTCTATAGAGGGATGCTACAGAAAATTATTGCGCAGCAAAAAATTAAATCCAACAGCAAAACTTTTTAGCAAATTGAAATTAATATCTTTGCTTAGTTTTTGGACTGCTGCTTTACAAATCTCTTAGGCTTCATGGCCATTAAGAGAAGGAATCTTTGAGTACAGATGTCTTACTACAAATACCTGGGGGCTACTGATTTCTCACCCAAAGACTTACTGTTCCTGTGGGAATTTCCAGGTGTTTTTCCCCTTTCAAAGTGCAACTTCTCTCATCATCATCATCACAGTCAAATTCTATGTTAGGGAGAAAATTGCCCATGGAAGTAAGACTACTATTTGAGTTTTGCTTTAGGAATCTGCAGTACGTCTGCATGGTAGCATTTTTAAAAATTATTAACCAGTGTTTTATTTAAAAAGATAAACATGCTCATGTTAAGAAAAATAAACAAAAATTAAACTTACTGAAAGTCATGAGGTGAAAGGTAAAAATCCTTTCTTTGCTTTTCCTCTGAATCCCAGGTTCCACTTTTTTTTTTTTTTTTTTTTTTTGAGATGGAGTTTTGCTCTTGTTCCCCAGGCTGGAATGCAATGGCTCCATCTTGGCTCAGTGAAACCTCTGCCTCCCGAGTCCAAACAATTCTCCTGCCTCAGTCTCCCAAGTAGCTGGGATTACAGGCATGCACCGCCACGCCCAGCTAATTTTTTGTATTTTTAGTAGAGACGGAGTTTCTCTATGTTGATCAGGCTGGTGTCCATGCTGTCTGGCATCCTCACAGGAATTTTCTGTTGATCAATTGTTCCTCTTTTTCACCCATAGGATTAACAATGTGTCTTCATACTAGGGTGCAATAAGCTTTTCTTGCATTTAATGTTACTATTCCCTGAACAAGTTTCTATATTGGCACTTATAGCTGTACTTTCTTTCAAATGCCTCAGTTTTATAATTGAGCTATAATTTATTTAAGCAGTTCTTGTACATATATTAGTGTGCGCTTGTACAAGGACACCTGTAAGGATATATTTCCAGCAGTGGAATTTCTAGGTCAATGTGTATGATCTTTTTTATTTTGATAAACTGACACATTGCCTACCAAGGAAACATCTGAGGTTTTATGACAGTTGATACAGTTTATCATTGAAGTTCTCAGAATCCTCTGGGTACCTCATTGAACACTGCCTTAAGGAAGTCAAGTATTCACTTAAAATTGAACGATTACTTAGTTGTCAAGTCTTCCTGAACCATAGGCCCTCATCTAGAGGACTCCTTCACTTTGCCATTATGTAAATTTCCTCAAAAGGAAATTTATTCTTTTTAAACATAAACATTCAAACCTATCAGGAAAATAAAAAAAAAAAAAAACTAAACAAAAAAACCCACTATTTTCAGCCAGGTGAGGTGGCTCACACCTATAATCCTAATACTTCGGGACACCAAGATTGCTTGAGCCCAGGAGTTTGAGACCAGCCTGGGCAATATGGCAAGACCTCATCTCTACAAAAAATACAAAAATTAGATGGGTGTAGTGGTGTACACCTTTAGTCCCAGTTACTTAGGAGCCTAAGGTGCGAGGATCGCCTGAGCTCAGGGAGGTCAGGGCTGCAGTGAACAGTGATTCCACCACTGTACTCAAGCCTGGGCACCAGAGTGAGACTCTGTCTCAAAAAACAAAACAAAAAATTCCCACTATTCTCAACTTTTAGTATCTAGGGAATTAGAACTAGGCTGATTACATTTAAATAACTAAGACATTTGATAATAATAATTGTATATCTTAGAAAATATTACCATGATGTTTTTATAATATTTTCTCTGAGTTATTTTTGAGTCACAGTGTCAATATAAGGTTTACTCTTCTGGTGTAATGCTTTCTGAAACAGTTTCTAGCTTTTGTTTTAGGGTACATAGCTTTGTGAACCCTTTATATAATGAACTGGAAATTGGAATTTGTATTTGTATATATCAATGGTATGGTTTAATGGAACAATTTTTCCTAACTGCATTTATTTTGTATCCAGGAAGCGTCAGGACAATCATGCCCATGAGAGCTCTAAACTGTTCAGGTAATCATTTAATTTTTAAACTGTCCTATAAATATGCTTTGTTTTCCATATTAAGAAGACTTTATAATTGTTTTGTTTAGATGCACCCTTTTATCTTTTCCAAATTTCTGTGACATCTGATTCTTACAGCCTTGATGTCATTTCACTAATCACTGATTTTAAGCTGTAAAATAAAGCTATACTTTATAGTAATATATAATACTTTATGAATTTTATAAAACATGTATTTTATATATGTATGCTTATATGTATACTGTTATATTTATATTTTATATTAATGTATAACATGTATATGGCTTTTTTTTTTTCTGAGATGGAGTCTCGCTCTGTTGCCAGGCTGCAGTGCAGTGACATGATGTCAGCTCACTGCAACCTCCGCCTCCCGGGTTCAAGCGATTCCCCTCCCTTAGCTTCCCGAGTAACTGGGACTACAGGTGCATGCCACTACACCTAGCTAATTTTTGTATTTTTAGGAGAGACGGGGTTTCACCATGTTGGCCAGGATGGTTTCGGTCTCTTGACCTCATGATCCACCTGCCTCAGCCTCCCAAAGTGCTGGAATTACAGGAGTGAGCCACCATGCCTGGCCACATATTTTTTGTATTAAGCTATAAAGCATATCCCTATATAGAGATCTGTAATACACTTTGGCATACAAATCATAAAACTTGGTTAGGAATAGCTCTAATTTTTTTAATGGGGCTTTCTAAAATCTTATACTTTTGTAGATAATATCCATCAAGGATATTTTTCTAAAGTTAAAGATATTTAAAAGAGTGACCAAAATTCAAACATGGAAGAGACTTACATTTAATGCTGAGTTTGAAATTAATATATTTTAATTGTGGAATTAATGTAATCTCAATAAAAATAATTCCTTGGAGTAAGAAGCATTTCAAATTTATCTGATTTCTGGTTGGTTAGTTAGGTTTTTTTTTTTTTTTTTTTTTTTTTTTGGTTTCTTATTTGGAACTGTTATGACAATCTCTTTGTATTTTCTTTTTCTTCAGGTCATTTTATCTTAGTGAAACTGGCAATTGAACTTTGCTCTAGTTGATGGGCAAAATTTCTTCTAGACTATTCATCATCCCAATTTCATCCTAGTTGAAAATTTTCAAATGCCGTAAGAAATCTTTATAGATTTGCACTTAGCTTTTGGATGGACATTTCTACAATGGAGAGAACTGTGTTATAGCCCTGGTCCAAGGACATTACTATCTAATGCCCATCGACTGTGGTGTGCGTGTGGAAGGTTCCAAAGAGAAGGAGCAATCAGCAAGTTTGCAGACCCCTTGGAACATGGAAGCAACCAAGCTTTAAGAAGCACAGCTTTGGAGATACTCCATGAGTCTGCACCGCTTTCAGGGGAACTAGCACTTAAGACCTTGTGTAACAAAATGGACACTGGGGACACAGCTCTAGGACAAAAGGCTACCTCAAGGTCTGGAGAAACTGATAAAGCATCAGGTAGATGGAGACAGGAACAATCGGCTGTTATTAAGATGAGCACTTTTGGCAGTCAAGAAGGACAGCGGCAACCACAAATAGAGCCTGAGCAAATCGGAAACACAGCATCAGCACAACTGTTTGGTTCTGGGAAACTGGCCTCCCCTAGTGAAGTGGTGCAGCAAGTCACAGAGAAGCAATATCCACCGCATCGTCCGAGTCCTTACTCATGCCAACACTCACTCTCTTTCCCTCAGCACTCATTGCCACAGGGGGTCATGCACAGCACCAAGCCACATCAGAGCCTCGAAGGTCCTCCGTGGCTTTTCCCTGGCCCTTTGCCATCCGTTGCCTCCGAGGACTTATTTCCTTTTCCTATACATGGCCACAGTGGTGGTTATCCTAGAAAAAAGATTTCAAGTCTGAACCCTGCTTATAGCCAATACTCCCAGAAAAGTATCGAACAGGCAGAAGAGGCTCACAAGAAAGAGCACAAACCCAAAAAGCCTGGCAAGTACATTTGCCCTTACTGCAGCAGAGCGTGTGCCAAACCTAGCGTACTGAAAAAACACATCAGGTCCCATACTGGGGAGCGGCCATATCCATGTATACCTTGTGGTTTCTCTTTCAAGACAAAGAGCAATTTGTACAAGCACAGGAAGTCACATGCCCATGCAATTAAGGCAGGATTAGTACCTTTCACAGAGTCAGCTGTATCTAAATTGGACCTAGAGGCTGGTTTTATTGATGTAGAAGCAGAAATACATTCAGATGGTGAACAGAGTACAGACACAGATGAGGAGAGTTCTTTATTTGCTGAGGCTTCTGACAAAATGAGTCCTGGCCCACCCATCCCACTGGACATTGCCAACAGAGGTGGCTATCATGGGTCATTGGAAGAATCATTGGGAGGTCCAATGAAGGTGCCGATTTTGATTATTCCTAAAAGTGGGATTCCTCTCCCTAATGAAAGCTCTCAGTATATGGGCCCTGATATGCTACCAAATCCATCTTTAAATACTAAGGCTGATGATTCGCACACAGTCAAACAGAAACTTGCACTAAGACTGTCAGAGAAAAAAGGACAAGATTCTGAGCCATCGCTCAACCTTCTGAGCCCGCACAGTAAAGGAAGCACTGATTCTGGTTACTTTTCTCGCTCAGAAAGTGCTGAGCAGCAAATAAGCCCTCCCAACACAAATGCAAAGTCTTATGAAGAAATCATCTTTGGAAAATACTGTCGGCTTAGTCCGAGAAATGCACTCAGTGTTACAACCACAAGTCAGGAGCGTGCCGCAATGGGTAGGAAGGGCATAATGGAACCATTACCTCACGTAAACACCAGGTTGGATGTCAAGATGTTTGAAGATCCTGTTTCACAGCTGATCCCAAGCAAGGGAGACGTCGACCCCAGTCAAACGAGCATGCTGAAATCCACTAAGTTCAACAGTGAGTCTAGACAACCCCAGATTATTCCATCATCTATCAGGAATGAAGGAAAACTTTATCCAGCAAACTTCCAAGGCAGTAATCCGGTTCTCTTAGAAGCTCCTGTAGACTCTTCACCCCTTATTAGAAGCAACTCAATGCCAACTTCTTCAGCAACTAATCTAACTATTCCTCCTTCTTTGAGAGGAAGTCACTCATTTGACGAAAGGATGACTGGTTCCGACGATGTATTCTATCCAGGGACCGTGGGCATACCCCCTCAGCGCATGCTAAGAAGACAAGCAGCATTTGAACTGCCTTCAGTACAGGAGGGCCATGTGGAGGTCGAGCACCATGGCAGGATGTTGAAGGGTGTCAGCAGTTCATCCCTGAAGGAAAAGAAATTGTCTCCTGGGGACAGGGTTGCGTATGACTATGACGTCTGTCGGAAACCCTATAAGAAGTGGGAGGACTCTGAAACACCAAAGCAAGGCTACAGGGACATTTCCTGCTTGAGTTCTTTAAAACATGGTGGAGAATATTTCATGGATCCTGCGGTGCCATTGCAGGGAGTACCAAGCATGTTTGGAACTACCTGTGAAAACAGGAAACGCCGGAAAGAGAAGAGCGTAGGGGATGAAGAAGACACCCCCATGATCTGCAGCAGCATCGTAAGCACTCCCATGGGCATCATGGCTTCCGATTATGACCCCAAACTGCAGATGCAGGAAGGAGTCAGGAGTGGATTTGCCGTGGCTGGACACGAAAACCTTTCTCATGGTCACACGGAACGCTTTGACCCATGTCGGCCCCAACTGCAGCCCGGAAGTCCATCTCTTGTGTCAGAGGAGTCACCTTCAGCCATTGATTCAGACAAGATGTCAGACCTAGGGGGCAGGAAACCTCCTGGAAATGTGATTTCTGTGATTCAGCACACCAACTCGCTGAGCCGACCCAATTCATTTGAAAGATCTGAGTCAGCCGAACTTGTGGCTTGCACACAGGATAAAGCCCCTTCCCCTTCAGAGACTTGTGACAGTGAGATTTCAGAAGCCCCAGTGAGTCCTGAGTGGGCTCCACCCGGGGATGGTGCAGAAAGTGGGGGGAAACCCTCTCCATCTCAGCAGGTGCAGCAGCCGTCCTATCACACACAGCCCAGGCTAGTTCGGCAACACAACATCCAGGTTCCTGAGATTCGAGTGACCGAGGAGCCTGATAAACCCGAGAAGGAGAAAGAAGCCCAGAGCAAAGAGCCAGAGAAGCCTGTGGAAGAATTTCAGTGGCCCCAGAGAAGTGAGACTCTTTCCCAGCTCCCCGCGGAGAAATTGCCACCCAAAAAGAAGCGTCTGCGACTTGCCGATATGGAGCACTCCTCAGGGGAGTCCAGCTTTGAATCCACAGGCACAGGCCTCTCCCGCAGCCCCAGTCAAGAAAGCAACTTGTCTCACAGCTCCAGTTTCTCCATGTCTTTTGAAAGAGAAGAAATCAGTAAGCTTTCTGCACTTCCTAAGCAGGATGAGTTTGGGAAGCATTCAGAGTTTCTGACTGTCCCTGCTGGTTCATACTCATTGTCTGTCCCAGGCCATCACCACCAGAAAGAGATGCGACGCTGCTCATCAGAGCAGATGCCTTGTCCTCACCCAGCAGAAGTCCCAGAAGTTCGCAGCAAATCATTTGATTATGGGAATCTGTCCCATGCTCCTGTGTCGGGAGTGGCAGCCTCCACGGTATCACCGTCCAGGGAGAGGAAGAAATGCTTTCTGGTGCGGCAAGCTTCCTTCAGTGGCTCCCCAGAAATCGCCCAGGGTGAGGCCGGCATGGATCAGAGTGTGAAGCAGGAGCAGCTGGAGCACCTGCATGCTGGCCTCCGGTCCGCGTGGCACCATGGCCCGCCTGCTGTGCTGCCTCCTCTTCAGCAAGAGGACCCAGGGAAGCAGGTGGTGGGTCCTTGTCCCCCGCTGAGCTCAGGGCCACTGCACCTGGCCCAACCACAGATCATGCACATGGACAGTCAGGAATCTTTGAGAAATCCCTTGATCCAACCAACATCCTATATGACAAGCAAACACTTACCTGAACAGCCACACTTATTTCCACATCAAGAGACAATTCCATTTTCTCCAATCCAGAATGCCTTGTTTCAGTTTCAATATCCTACAGTTTGTATGGTTCATTTACCAGCTCAGCAGCCTCCCTGGTGGCAGGCGCATTTCCCACATCCCTTTGCTCAGCCCCCTCAGAAGAGCTATGGCAAGCCCTCTTTTCAGACAGAAATCCATTCGAGCTATCCCTTAGAGCATGTGGCAGGGAACACTGGAAAGAAACCTGCTGAGTATGCGCACACGAAAGAGCAGACCTACCCGTGTTATTCAGGAGCATCAGGGCTACACCCAAAGAACCTTCTTCCAAAGTTTCCATCAGACCAGAGCAGTAAGTCAACCGAAACGCCCTCCGAGCAAGTTCTTCAGGAAGATTTTGCCTCGGCAAATGCTGGGCCTTTGCAGTCCCTCCCGGGAACAGTGGTTCCTGTTCGGATCCAAACACACGTACCGTCTTATGGAAGTGTCATGTACACAAGCATTTCTCAGATACTTGGGCAGAATAGCCCTGCCATTGTCATATGCAAAGTCGATGAGAATATGACCCAAAGGACACTGGTCACCAATGCAGCCATGCAAGGGATAGGATTCAACATTGCCCAGGTGCTGGGGCAGCATGCTGGCTTGGAGAAGTACCCCATTTGGAAAGCACCTCAGACTTTACCCCTCGGCTTAGAATCCTCAATCCCCTTGTGTTTACCTTCCACCTCTGACAGTGTGGCCACCCTGGGAGGTAGCAAGCGAATGCTTTCTCCAGCCAGTAGCTTGGAGCTCTTCATGGAAACCAAGCAGCAGAAAAGGGTCAAAGAAGAAAAGATGTATGGACAGATTGTGGAGGAGCTTAGTGCTGTGGAGCTCAACAACTCAGACATCAAAAAGGACCTCTCCCGCCCCCAGAAACCCCAGCTGGTTCGACAAGGGTGTGCTTCTGAGCCAAAAGATGGCTTGCAGTCAGGGTCATCTTCCTTCTCCTCTCTGTCACCCTCCTCATCTCAAGACTATCCTTCTGTTAGCCCGTCTTCCAGGGAGCCATTCCCGCCCAGCAAGGAGATGCTTTCTGGTTCCCAGGCACCACTTCTGGGGCAGAAGTCCAGTGGGCCTTCTGAAAGCAAAGAATCTTCAGATGAATTAGATATCGATGAGACGGCATCGGACATGAGCATGAGCCCACAGAGTTCTTCATTACCAGCGGGAGATGGTCAGCCGGAAGAGGAAAGGAAGGGCCACAAGCGGCCTGTTGGCATGCTGGTCCGCATGGCCTCTGCCCCCAGTGGGAACGTGGCAGATTCAACTCTTCTTCTCACGGACATGGCAGATTTCCAGCAGATTCTTCAGTTTCCCAGTCTGCGGACAACAACTACTGTGAGTTGGTGCTTCTTGAATTATACAAAACCCAGTTATGTGCAACAGGCCACCTTCAAATCCTCAGTTTATGCTTCATGGTGCATTAGTTCCTGTAACCCAAACCCATCAGGATTGAACACCAAGACCACACTGGCTCTGCTGAGGTCCAAGCAAAAAATCACTGCAGAAATTTATACTCTGGCTGCTATGCATAGGCCTGGAACCGGCAAGCTTACATCATCAAGTGCTTGGAAGCAGTTTACTCAGGTAACAAATATTGTTTTAGGAAGAACTCTGTATTGTGGATTTGATTGCTGAGCAGACTACATAGTGAAGGATATAAGGCCAAAAAAAATATACAAGGAAAATGAAGGTCAGTGTGGGGGCGTTCTCAGAAAGTCTGGCCTTACTCAGGAGTGGAAGAAGCCACTGACTGCACTGGGTTCTGAGGTCTCAGACATGGCCCAAATACTGAAAGTGTCACTTTCTGTATTTTCAGAAGGAAAAGCCTACATTTATGCTTTTAAAATGTAAAAATTTGGGTGCCATGAAATCCTACCACTGGGATTAATTCCCATGGGTTATTTTCCTTCTGACCTTTGTGAGTGACCTAGCAGGTCTAATTTTCTTTGGGTGTGAGGAATTCAGGGAATTGTGAAGTGGGCCATAGAGCAGGGAGTGGAGGCTGAAAGGAAAGACAAGGATGGAGGACTGAGCTTTGCAAAGGCTGCAGAGCTTACTCTCATTGACGAGACATCTATATCCTTCAAAACTTATTTTTCCAAGTTGCTGGCTGGTTTGTTCCTACAAGAACCATCAATGCCTTCCATGCAAAATTATAAAAATATTAAGGGGCATTTTGAAATTTCTGCTAAATTAGTAAGGAAGCAAATACAGGATTTAAAAATATGTTTTCACTTATATCGGTTACCATTCAATAATTTTTGAGACTACTTCCTTAATTAATATAGATTGTTCTCATTGCTACTTCGAAACATAGAATGTCTTTTAAGTATTAGCATTGCACAGAGTGCTGAGTGCATATGTGTATATATATTTTATATATAAAATACATATTTATACAATATATATCTAACAGAATGTTGAATTTATTCAGTGGAAACTGTCATTCTTATCTGATTTTATCCCTAGTGGCCCTTAGTTTATATAACTAGTTCCTGGCCTTTTGGTACAGAATTTAGGCTCATTTTTAGAGATTATGGAAGAGTGGGACATAGGAGCTCCTGTGTCTTGGAGAAAGCATGTGAAATGATTCTCTCTTCTTGTCTTACAGATGAAACCTGATGCGTCCTTTTTATTTGGCAGCAAACTAGAAAGGAAACTAGTGGGAAATATCTTAAAGGAAAGAGGGAAAGGAGATATTCATGGAGATAAAGATATTGGATCCAAACAAACTGAGCCAATCCGAATTAAAATATTTGAAGGAGGGTAAGGAAACATAAGTGCAAATGTAAAATGTTCTGTTATAGGTCAGAGTAAATGGTCCAGAATGTCTGCATGGAAAAAGTACTGTCTAATCTGGTTGGGAGCTGAAAGTAAATTCCTTTTCTATTCACATTTCTGAACTCTGGCTGGTAACAGATCATAAGTTCATGCCCTTGCTTTTGGGATTTGCTTTTCATAAAAATGTCCCTAATGGATATCATTCAAGCCTCTTCCTTAAATTTCCACCCCTCTAATTTATTATGAAATCTACTAAATTGGGGACACTTGATGTCATCTAAGTTTATTCATTCTTTGATCATTTTATAGGTATTTGTTTTAATGATGGACATATTTTTATTCTATGCTTACAAAAGTCAGATCATGCACAATTGTGTATAATCTTCAGAACTAGTTAATTTTTTCATTTATTTTTCTTATTATATAAACTGGAGGCTTTAATGGGATTTCACCGGTTCCATCAATATCCTTTTCTGCCCCAGGTTCCAAGTCAGGGTACCACATTGCCCGCACTTGTCTTGCCTTCCCAGTCTTCTCTGGTCTATGACGCTTTCTCTGTATTTAGGAATTTCTTTTCAAATCTTGAGTCCTGAGTCATAGAAACTCAAGTAATAAGGTTCAAAGACTTTGTTGTTTGTGAAGTTAAGAAAAATTACACATGTGTAATATCTTGTTTCAGATTTTGATATGTATCTTTCATCCAGTCACATAGAAGGAAAACCCTACACTTAGGCTTTTAAAATTTAAAAATTTTGAAGCATGCTAACCACATTTTGGAGATTATGATGTAATTAGCCTTATCTCTACAACAAATCTATTATTTACATATTTTCATTGGCATGACTTTATTCCAATTATATTTGGAGGACAATAATGTTATTTGTTTGACTATAAAATGTGGAATGTGGTTGGGCGTGGTGGCTCACGCTTGTAATCCCAGCACTTTGGGAGGCCGAGGCGGGCGGATCACGAGGTCAGGATATTGAGACCATCCTGGCTAACACAGTGAAACCCCGTCTCTACTAAAAATACAAGAAAATTAGCCGGGCGTGGTGGTGGGCGCCTGTAGTTCCAGCTACTTGGGAGGCTGAGGCAGGAGAATGGCGTGAACCCAGGAGGCAGAGCTTGCAGTGAACGGAGATTGCGCCACTGCACTCCAGCCTGGGCGACAGAGCGAGACTCCATCTCAAATAAATAAATAAATTAATTAATTAATTAATTTTTAAAAAGTGTGGAATGTTCAGTGAGATGAAATATCCTTTTTTCACCTAGCATTACCAGTTTGGAGATGGATTATTCTATTTGGTTCTCCCTTAGGTTTTGCCCTCTTTGGATGTCTAGCATTTTCACCACTAAAACCACAATTATACGTAGTCATGAAGCTTGTCTCGATATTTTTTTGACATCCACCATCTTTTAACACAAACGAGAGCAATATAGGTTTTATCTTTCCTCAGAGACTGAGTGGTCCCTGTGACTGAATCAACCCTCTCACATTCAGCAGCCTTCATAGCAGTGCACTTGCACCAATAGATTAGCGACCTCCACAATTACTCTATGCTTTGGGGAGCCCATCTCCACTAACGAAGGGCACAAGTGAAAAAGCTTATGTGAACATTTTATTGCTGTGTTTTGGTGATCCAAAAGGATTGTGCCCATATTTCATTTCCTCCTCCTTTAATTGCCCCATTAGGGGCTGTGTCCCATTACTTCTTAATCTGTGGCCCAATTTCTGCCCAGTGTTGACTAAGTGTTTTTTCCAAACCTGATGTTGCCTCCTCTTATTTTGGCGATTGCAAAGTGATAGCTAAAAAAAAAAACCAAAGAAAGTATTACTGACCAAAATCTTAAGTGTATATTATCTAATTGATAGGTTTAGTAATACATTTAATAATTTAGTTAAACATAAATTTGAATTTTTTTCAAAATCCATCAATTATCAAGTAGATTCATGGGCCTGTAGAATTGTTGTATGATATTTTATTTACACAAGTTTTTCTAATACATCATTATATTTTATACAGAATTTTACTGTATTTTCATTCTGGAAGCAAGTTAATCAGCTAAGACATTGAAAATAAAATTATACTGCTTGATGATAAAATGCATTTCCCATCACTATGATGGTGGGCTATAGTAAGCTTGAAGTATCCTTCCCTGAAGAAAATTAGCTTTGTACAAAAGTATTTGTTTTGGTCTATATCTCTTAAGGAATTTCATCTAGTTAGGGGCAGAGAATAGTGAAATTTAAAGCTGAAAGATATTTGCATCTTTAGGGTTTTTTCCTACTTTATTGCAAAAGACAAAGATAAAATTCAAAATAATTTTGAAGAACAAGTAGAAGTCAAAATTCCTGGTGAAAGGGGGAAAATTTAAAGGAACCAAAGACATGCAAAATGGATTATTCATAGTTTTGAACAGTTTGTGCTTAATTCTCATCTGTATTGGTACCGACCAAAAAGTAGATAACGTTAAGATTAGATGTGAATTCATAACAGAGTTGCTGTTTAAATATGTGGATGGATTTCCTTTCTTAAAATTATTTCAATAGTTTGGTTGACTGAAGTTAAACTTGCTTTTATTCCTGTTTGTGGATTAGCTAGGATAAAATGAGGAAGTTTGCAATGCTCTTAGAATGTAAAAAAACTGTAAATTTAATGCCTTTAACTAAATCCACAGTGGATTATGGCATTTTGCATGTCAGTTTACCTTTGGAAGTTATGAAAAGAACTCCCCAAATGGAATGTCTTTCCAAAAATAACATTAGACCCAAAATTCTAACCTTAGCTTTGACTTAAGAGATAATGGCAGTCATTGAATTAGTCCATATAATACTACTGTATCCTGTGACAAATCATGTTTTATTGTATTCTAAAATGGCATGGTTGAGCACTGGGTAGATTTTTTCCCTCAATTATCAAAGAAAATACCTAAGACCGTTTTTCTAGCTGATTTGATTAAGCAAGATGACCTCAGATATCCTTTCAAACATCTCTATGAAACCCTTCTGGAAACAAATGCAAATTTGATTAAAAATAGAATCTCTAGTTTTCATTATGTAACTACCTTAAAGAAGCTAGTTGAAATTTAGACTCCACATTATTACAGATTCATGGTCTTCGGGAAGAGCAGATCAAATCTGTAGACAACAGTTGGTGAGCTGAGCTCACCCTGTGTAAACTAGAAATTTCTGAGGCACTCTCGTGCCAAGCTTGTAAAAATAGAGTAGGAATTTGCAATGAAGAATTCTATTATCAGTTATACTTAATTTAGCAAATTTAGAGGGTTGTATGTTCGTACATGCACATCTTAGATGATGTAATGTTAACAAAAGCTACATGATGAATATGTTGGTATGCTTTTTGTATGTCCCTTGATTGGAGGCCATACTAGAATCCAATCCAAAGGTCTGCAACTCTTTGAGGTTTACATAAGTCAATTTGAACATCTGTTTCCCAACTCTGTAAATTCACATGTAATAGTGGAGCCAATTCCATTTTGAATTCCATGTAGCATTACATTTTGTTTACAGTGCCAAATCTATTATCTAGTTCTTTCAGGCATTTACTGCATAAATTTCACAAGCTTCATAGACGTAAAGTTGAATAATTGTCTGCAAAAGACCCGCATAAAACTTTGCCATGCAAATAATTAGCTTTTGCTTTAAGATATAGCATGCTAAGAATGTTTGAAAACCACTGGATTCCCCCTTTTTAACACAGGTACAAATCAAATGAAGATTATGTATATGTCAGAGGACGTGGCCGTGGAAAGTACATTTGTGAAGAATGTGGTATTCGCTGTAAGAAGCCAAGCATGCTCAAAAAACACATCCGTACCCATACTGATGTTCGGCCTTATGTATGCAAGTTATGTAACTTTGCCTTCAAAACGAAAGGTACAAGTCTGATTTTTTTGAGAGGAAAAATACTTCTCTATGGCTACTTAGATTTCTGAGTGCTATTTTATAAATAGCCTTCATCAACAATAAAGATGGTTTGTTTTTGAAAATGTGATTCCACAAAATGTATTTTCTCCCTCAAGTAAGTGATCAAAGGATGTATGTGAGACTGTGAGGCTCTTTTTATGACTTAATTAAGAGCAATAGACCTAGGTCCGGGCCAGTTGTCTCCAAAGGAAGTGGCTACGAATTGTCTGGATAGCTATTTCTTCATGTTGGAAATGTTATGTGATCTAGATAATATTTATACCAGCATTGAAATCCTGCACATGCAGTGGTATTAGAGAAGCAAGGCAGCAGCTGGGAAGAAAACATGTGCTCTTGGTCAGTTTCAAGATTATAAATAATGTAGAGACCCACACATTCCCAGGTGGGCACCTCCATCCACAGTTGCATTAATTATGCATAGAAATTTGATAGCTTGTGTTCCCTGTTTTCATCAGCACAGAGATAATTTCTGATTCTCAGTACATAACTGTTAGTCTTATAAAACTAGGACTTGCCTTGAAGTTTTTTTAAAAAAATCCGTTTTTAACAGATAGATTTATGTAAAAATATTTTACTGAAGGAAGTTGCTTCAGTTATATTTTTAGAGGTTGTTTGATTTTTGCAGAAGTGTGTTTTACCTTAGGTTTAGTGGATACTATAGGCATTCCTTCACCACTTTAAATTTTCATATTGATTAATCTGCTCTGATACCCTTCAAGAAAAATAAATATCAAGTAAAATTATCTTTGATAGAGAAATGTATAGCTATGTTCTTTTATAGCTGAAAATCCTAAATTGCTGTATTGGTTGTAGAAGTGTAAATGGGTAGCCTCTCAACACATCTGTTTCTTTTTTATTAAAAAGATCTGTATGACAGGAGTGCCTCATTTGAAGCTGAAATAAAGTATGTGTTCATTTGCATCTCAAAAAATAAACATATGGCCTTTTAAATACCACTCACCTTTGCACAATCAAGCCCTTTATACAGAACTTTACTAAGAGATTCCCTAGGAGATAAGAAAATAAAAACTTTGATTTTAGGGAATACTGCAAATTCAGGAGTCATTACGAATGATACATATCTTCACTGGGCATATGAGTTTGCTGCAGGTGTAGTTGTGTGAAAAACTGGATGAAGAAATGAGACATCTCTAGATATTTTTAAAAATCAAATTAAGTCTGCCTCTGAATCATCATCTCCTGAAGGAAATAATTTATTCTTGGTCATTATTGGAGTTTCCTTGTCACCCTTTGGGAATGTGCAAATGTCTCAGAATCTTAAAATGAGCAAAACATCCTGGAATACCCTGCCAGTTTTCACCTCCGGCTGAAATGCCTGTTGTCCAAACCCACATTTTCGTCTGAGCACAGATGGAACGCCCTTGCACGACCAATCCCTTCTCCTCATCTGTGCCACTTCTTCAAGGGCCTCCCCCGCCACTCTCCTTCCCTCTCCTTGTCCTTATACATTACTTCCACAGCTCATGACTTTAACAAACTAAAGCCATGGTGGAATTGTTTCAGATCCAGATTTCTAGCTACAGACCTATTCTGAAGATGAGAGTCTAAAGCCTGACTATCCTTGGAGTGGAGAGAAAAATGTAGGAGAAAGAAACACATACTAAAATCTAAATAAATTCTCCTGATACGCTTAGCATCCATACCTATATACATCCATAGCATACTTGCACTCTGGCAGAAGTGGTTATTTTTATTAATTTATAGATACGTTTCATTAATTTTCTAGATTTAAGATTCTTGATATGTCTATAACATTTTTGAGCTCTTTAAAAAATAGTAGATAAAAAGTTTTGATAAATAAGAGCAATGGGGGCCTGGAAATATTTCTATGTTTGGAATTATCAAAACAGCATGTAAAATTGATAAGTATATAAGCAATAAGTAAATAATAAAGCAATATGAGTAAAATAATAACAGTGTCCCAGTTTTAACTGTGGCTCATACATTACATGAACAGCAAGCTTAACACTCCTACAAGAGGAATAAACTATGCTAGCAGGCTGAGTTTCCACGGAGATTTCACAGAGCCTTCTCTTTAAGTATTTGTTGGTACATTGCTAAAGCGTTGTCAAAGGCACAGATAACATTATGGCTGTTTTCACTGAAGTGATGTAAAGGTTCCTTACAACTGAATTTGTTCCTGAATCTCTTTTGATAAGTTATATGGCATATCATTTATATATATAAATATATGTGTGTGTGTGTGTATGTGTGTGTGTGCATTCTTCTATAGATCCTGGGTCAAGGAGGATTGGATCAATGTTTTCAAAATTTCTCGCATTTCATAAAGCAGTTATACAAATTATATATATAATTTATATACACACATTCATATACACATATAGTTGTATATGCCATTATCATTACAACATATTCAGCATGAAACCTTTCTTTCTTTCTTAGCGTGATAGGAGCCTGAAGATAAATAAAAAGAGAATGTTGCAGCTCCAGAATTTGAAGAATTGCTGTCATAACGTTTGCTAACATATACCAGACAGATAGATGCTAAATACTGGGAATAATGCTCCCTATGAGAGTTAGCTAATTATTTGTATGGATCTTTCAGTGCACTGACAAGGTTTACCCTCACATTAGTTTGTATGTATTTTTCTTCTGAACTTTGAAGATCCTTGGAGGTTACCCTATACCTGATCAATACCAGAAGGTCAGGGGCCCAGTGGGTGTGTTGAGAATATTTCATTCTGAAGTATCTCTGACGTATGTGGCCAGATTGTGTTTCCCTGTTTACGTGGAGTCCCAGGAGGCTGGTGCATTTGGATAGATATGAGATCCCTTCTCAGGCAGAAGAGCCTGGGATTTCCAGTTTTGCTTGGAGCCTACTCTTGAAAAGATGTGAGCCTGGACTTCCACATATCTTCTAGAATAAAGAATATCTGAGATTGGGCCAAAGCTCTCAGGGATTGTTATATTCAAAAACCAGATTGTTCTTCTTAAGGTTGAAACAAGGGATAGTGGGTAGAACCAAATCTGTGTTACATGATGAATTTAATAAAATTAGTTCATTTCGCATTGAATTTGGAGCAGCCATCAGCAGTTGTTAATTTGATAACCAATTAATTTATCTCTTCTTTTTGGCTACATTTTCAAGGAAACCTAACGAAGCATATGAAATCTAAAGCACACATGAAAAAATGCCTGGAATTGGGAGTCTCAATGACATCGGTGGATGATACAGAAACTGAGGAAGCAGGTATGTCATAAATGAGTTGGCAGACATCTTCATTATGCACAGTGGAGCTCTGTGGCTGAGGTGGTAAAATAAGTTTAGATATTTTTAAAAAGTCATCACTTTTCATTTTATTAAATACTAAATATAGAAAATCTGACACATTGAATTGCTTGAAATCTACTGAGAAGAAATGCATTTCTGTTTTGACTCTGAGGGCAAAAAAGGCCTTACTATGAGAATACTTCTGTTTAGAGCCATGAAAGGAATAGAATTGCACTTGCTTTGTGATAGCAAATTAGATTTTATGAGGCTTTTTGGGAAATTTGAGAAGTATTTTAATGTATTATTATTTAAGTTAAGAAGAATCCCTGTAGGAAAACAAACAAACAAACATCATTGAGGTTGGCCAGACCTCCTGAGATACATCACTTAGACATACATTTGTACCTGAGCTTGCAGAGACAGGTTGTTGCCTTTCTTTTTCCTCTAGCATCATCATTAACATTATCCATGCTCATTTGTTGAGGTTTTTCTGTGAGTGGGATGATGTCTGAGATATAAAGTCCTACTGTGGAATCTTTCTTGTAAGTTGTTGATGAAAACAAATAGATATACAAGAAGATAGAATGAATGCAGGGTCACACAGTGACCTCATTTTATAGGAGTTCTCAGACATAACTGTCTATGGGCACTAGGGACTGGGAAAAACTTTTAGAAAGAAATAGGGCTTAAATAAGATCCTAACCTTGACATTTGGATCTTGATCTCCATTATTTTTGTTCAATTGTTTCAGAAAATATGGAAGATTTGCACAAAGCAGCGGAGAAGCATAGCATGTCTAGCATTTCAACTGATCATCAGTTCTCAGATGCCGAGGAATCAGATGGTGAGGATGGAGATGATAATGATGATGATGATGAAGATGAGGATGACTTTGACGACCAGGGAGATTTAACACCAAAAACAAGATCAAGAAGCACGAGTCCTCAGCCTCCTAGATTCTCCTCTTTGCCTGTGAATGTTGGCGCCGTACCCCATGGGGTTCCTTCAGATAGTTCCCTGGGACATTCTTCATTGATCAGCTATTTGGTTACTTTGCCAAGTATTCGAGTTACTCAGCTTATGACACCCAGTGACTCATGTGAAGATACCCAGATGACAGAATACCAGAGGCTATTCCAGAGCAAAAGTACGGACTCAGAACCAGACAAAGACAGATTGGACATACCTAGTTGTATGGATGAGGAGTGCATGCTACCTTCAGAGCCAAGCTCCTCTCCCAGGGACTTCTCACCCTCAAGTCGCCATTCCTCTCCAGGATATGATTCTTCACCCTGCCGAGATAATTCACCAAAGAGGTATCTGATACCCAAAGGAGATTTATCTCCCAGAAGACATTTATCACCTAGGAGGGATCTGTCACCCATGAGACATCTTTCACCAAGGAAGGAAGCTGCATTGAGAAGAGAGATGTCCCAAAGAGATGTTTCACCAAGAAGGCATTTGTCTCCAAGGAGGCCAGTGTCTCCTGGGAAAGATATCACAGCGAGAAGAGACCTCTCTCCTAGAAGAGAGAGAAGATACATGACCACCATAAGAGCGCCATCTCCCAGAAGGGCTTTATACCATAACCCGCCATTGTCCGTGGGGCAGTATTTGCAAGCAGAGCCAATTATATTGGGGCCTCCTGTAAGTATAATTCACCTTTCTTTCTAATATGTAAGTGGAAGCACACTGGTGCCTCCTGATAATGCACTGGTGTGAAATGTAGTAGAATATGGGTATCTGTCATGGGTGGAGTGAATCTGGCTACTGAAAATAGTGGGGAGACATTTTTGTCATATGCTGTTGTCGGTAACATGGCTGTGGCATTACCCGAAGTGTAGTATTGCACCAGAGCAGCCGTGCATTTCCAGTGGGAATAAGTGAGGCCTTTCTGAATGCTTTCTAAACTTAATTAATGATAGACATAAGCTGAAGCCTTTTTGTAAGTAAAAAAGATGAACCTTTAGAATGCCATGACTGCATGGACGTACACTCACAGGGACCTTTAGACATCACTCATCTCCAGGTAAGGATTCTAATTCAGTTGATAACCTTGACTTTCAAAAACTTTTATTTTTTAGATTTTTATTTATTTAGTTTTTTGAGACAGGATCTCACTCTTTCACCTAGACTGGAGTGCAGCGGCACGATTTTGGCTCACTGCAACCTCTGCCTCCCAGGTTCAAGTGATTCTCCTATCTCAGCCTCTGGAGAAGCTGGGACTACAGGCGTGTATCACCACACTTGGCTGATTTTTGTATTTATTGGTAGAGACAGGGTTTCACCATGTTGGCCAGGCTGGTCTCGAACTCCTAACCTCAAGTGATCCACCTGCCTTCGCCTCCCAAGTGCTAGGATTACAGGCATGAGCCACTGCACCTGGCCTCAAAAACTTTTATTTTTTAATACATTCATTACCTTGCCCATCATGAGTGGACATGTGAAACTGGTCAGGGACAGGGAGAGGAGAGAATGACACACTCGGCATGTTTATAAATCGAAGACATGAGCCTGTCTGCTTTTCTTGCCATTACTATCATCAAATGCACTGGCTCAATGGAAGCGTGGGCCCAAGGAGAAAGGGAAATCAGGAGAGCTAAGCGAGAATGTGCAGAGATTTCTGTGATGTGCCTTCATTATAGATGAAAATAACAGTAGCCATCATGAATTACATTTAAGCAGTAGGTTTAATACAAATTCATTTAAAAAGCACCTGTCCTATCTAATTCCACGGCTCAGTAGATTGTGATGTCTCTTTCAGTTTGTGTAGGATTTTCAAAAATGAGTAAAGCATGCACTTAGCATAGACAGAGGCATGATATCTTTGGAATCTGTCTGCCTTAAATGTGTTTTGATTTCCTGGTCTCTGCTCTTTGTTGTACTCCCTTGCTCCGGATCTCTGTGTCATGTGCATCAGCACCATCCTTTACAGCCAGAGAAGACACTGCCAGCTTCCAGTTCTGTTTTATCACTGCCCTGGCGGCCAATTTTCTCCCTCTCATCACCTTCCACCACCCTGAATCCTGAGCTCAGCCTGTCATTTTTTCACTTTAGGAAACCTGCTGCATTCATGTCCCCATCCCCAGCACTGTCTTTTCACAAATCTGGTACCAACTTCATGATGAAGCAAATCCTGTAGAAACGTGTATGGCAATTGGGATGCTGTTTACTAAGCTAACAAATTAGCAAGCTAATAAGAAAAAGAGATACATTTCCACAGGTTTTGGTGCCTTAGCGAAAATAGGAAAAAGGGATCTTCTGCAGTTTATGCCATTACAACACGAATAGAGAACTGTAAATCCCCTGGATCGTGTGACGCCAAGTCTGGGATGACACATGCTTGCTGTGGTATACACGCAGTGATGCTGGCAGAGTGTGTTAGACAAGCCTCTCCCTGCCATCCGTGCAGCCTGTGTTCTGGCATTGGACAGGTGGATTGAGAGTGTCGCATTTGTGAAACAGTGGTGCATATTCAGTCAACTGCAAACATGCAGTTTTTCCGTCAGAAGAAGTAAACCTTTAGTGCAAACATGCTGTGGTTGTAAAAAATTACAGGAACCCGCAGTCAAGTTGGGCAAAGGAATTGAAAGAGTGGACTAAGTAAGTTCATCTGAGTTTTAGATATGTGCCCAGAAAGTTGGAGAGAGGTGAGTTTTAGTAGTCACTGAATTTGTACCAGTTTTTTGATGTGTTTTTGTTGTTTCATTTTTGTTTTTAAATATCAGATCATGGGTATTACTATTATTATTATTGTTATTATTATTATTATTATTATTATTATTTTGAGATGGAGTCTCGCTCTGTCACAAGGCTGGAGTGCAGTGGCACGACCTTGGCTCATTGCAGCCTCCACCTCCTGGGTTCAAGCAATTCTCCCGCCTCAGCCTCCCAAGCAGCTGGGACTATAGGTGCCTGCCAACACGCCCAGCTAACTTTTGTATTTTTAAGTAGAAACGTGGTTTCACCATGTTGGCCAGGATGGTCTCAATTTCCTGACCTCATGATCCACCTGCCTCGGCCTCCCAAAGTGCTGGGATTACAGGTGTGAGCCCCCATGCCCGGCTGATCATGGGCACATTTCATAGTGTTGTTAAACTTTATCATTTCTGGTGCTTTTGGTCTCCCCAGTTTAATTCTCTTTAGAGGATGTATAGCCTGCTGCATTGTTCACATGCCTCCCTGATGTAGGGACAACTGGTCCCAATCACTGCCCACTTTATGCTTTCTCACACCACAGGACACTGACTGTGGTGTGAAGGTGCCTTATAGCCCAGTGTGACATATTCATATTCTGGCTGCTTTTGGAGTGATGGTGATCATAGCGAACACAGGTTTGGAGGAAATGAATGAATTTACATGCAGATTATGTTACGTGTATGTGCATATATATGTATACACACATATACACATGGGTACAAATGTACATACACAGACATCTATATATACATCTATATACCAGATCTATTACCCTACTCATCTCTTCAACAGTAGGGCAGTAAGGACCTCTAGATGCAAATGATGAGAAGGGGGTAGAAGAGCAAGAGGCATCCTACCACCCTGTCGTTTTTGCCCCAGTGCCCCTGTTAGTTTTAATTTTAAGATAGATAGATGGATGGATGGATAGATAGATAGATAGATAGATAGATAGATAGATAGATAGATAGATAGATTGATAGATAGAGAAGGTAAGTATGTTTTATCCATTTATTCAGTATTTACTGAATTTTTGAGAGTCTACTACACATGGTTCAAGGTGGAGGATGAAATAATATTGTGGCTTGTGGCCTTATCTTTTTTTTGATAAATAAATTTCCTTTTCCATTTAAAAAATTTTGCAGATAGATAGCAAGAAGAGAAACAAAGGTGTGTCCAGGCCGTGAGTGTGTGGTGTAGATGAAGATTGTGTCTAGGGAAATAGTCAACATTCATTCGTATCCCTTGTTATCTGTGTGATCTTGAGCAAGTCACTTAACCTCTTGACCACAGTTTCTTAATTTGTTTCTGGCAGCCAGGGAGGTGGCCCATACAAATTTCTGTCCCTGAAAGAGCGTGTCATTCAGCTGTAAGGAATGTAGTAGGCAAACAGCCTCCTACTGGTACGTCAGCACCTTCAGGACAGGACTGTTTTCAAGCCAAGTCCACGCTTTCCAGGCAGCCCCAGCCAGTGACTGAGCACAGATGGGTCACTTCTCCCCTGCTCCCTGCTGCCTCCAAGGAGGCTCTTGCTCTTCTATCTCCCTCTCATCATTTGCTTCTAGAGGTCCCTACTGCCATACTGTTGAGGAGATGAGTAGGGTAATAGATCTGGTACATGCGAATAGATGTATATATAGATGTCTGTGTATGTACATTTGTACATATGTGTATATGTGTCTATATATATATGCACTTACACTTAACATAATCTACATTTGAATTCACTATTTGTTTTTCCATGACAAAATTTTTCTTACTGAGATTTACGTAAGATGAAAGTTTGTCCACCACATTTATAAGGCCCGAATTACAAAACAATAGGATTGCAAATGGAGTAAAAACCAAAGTAGAGAAAACTTACTGGGAGTTTCTTTGGAGGATGAAGAAGGGGTGAATGAGAGGAGAGAGGATGTGTAGATATTCCTGGTGGAGCTTGGAGCAGTGGAAGTGGCCACATGGTAGAAATTCTACTTGTACACGTAGCTCTGTGGTTAAAATCAGTGAAGGGCTAAATTTGAAACTTTCATTAGTAGCACCAATAAGATTTTACTGGATTTAGAACATGTTGAGTATTATTGTGGTTTTAGAGGACAATTCATGACTCCATTTGTCAGCCTGGAGTTGGGGATCTCAAGTCAGTTTACGTAACAGGACATCTCTCTCTCTGACTTCTGTCCCACTTCCTCAGTTCCCCTACAGATCCATTCTGATGGGCTGTATGCAATGGAGGTCATGGAATAGCAGCCAGAAGTAAAATGGAAAAATAAACAAGCTCGATTTTATTTTAAACTTTGAATCTGTGATTGCTGTGATTGAAAGAAAACATACTTGATTATCTTCAAAGATTGTTACTGTAGGCATTACAGGTCTTCCTCCCAAACTGGTGTTTGATGAAGGAGACATGCCTTTTCCAAACCTGATTAAATACAAGGGGGATTTTGTCTATGTGCAGAATTCAAATGATTCTCATACCGTAAAATCCCCACCTTTCCCAGCTTATGAGGTCCTGGTAATGATAGTGTTGATGCAATCATCACTATCACCATTTCACTCACACTTTCAGGAGAACCCATGTTTCCAGGTTGTGTATGACATATCACAGAGGAGGGTAAGGGCTAAGCATCTCAGAGAGTAGCAGAAATCACAGTCTAGATAGAACTGGATGAATCTTTAATGGTATAGAGCATACCTTGAGTTTTAGAACTGAAACTCTTGAAATGAAAAAGAACAGTTTCTTTGGCTCTATCCTGGACTACTACTGTACCGTATGGGTTTATATCTATCTATCTATCTTTGATTCTCAAAAAATAGAAAAAATGAAGTCCTTTTTAGATGACAATCCACTAAAGAATGAATCACAGTAATTAAAATCTGACAATATTAAATCTGACAATTTAAGTTGTATTTCACTACAGAAACAGTATAGAAAATAAATTCTCCATTTTCAGGACTAGGACTGTGGAATCTGAAATTCTGGCTGAACATTTTAAGCATCCTTAATTTATTGATTGCCAACAAGATATTGAGGTGGAAATAATAATATAAACAAAAGATTAAGATGCAATCTTCTTTGGTTCGCAGCTATGGAGTTGAATATAAGTTGGTAACTGAAATAATGTTAACTACTTCTATGATGGATAGTTTCCTTTAAAAAATTATTATTGATGTAAGACTTAAATGGCCTTGGTTTGTTATTGGATGAAGAAGTTGGTCTTCTGCATTGAGTATCTCTTAGCAGGAATGCATTCCTTTAGACCAATGTCTTACACATTGGAGGAACCAGTTTGTGGTTCCATTTTGTCATCTGTTCTGTGGAAAACTTTTTTAAAAAGCCAATTTTCAGACTTGTCATTCCAATTATATACCCATCAACACTTAAGAAAAATATTACAAATCTGTCCAGTATAGCAACAGATGGTAATCTTTTTATTTCCTTTTGAATTAAAAAAATATTATTAATATTTATTAGTGTTTTTTGCTCAGTAAACTTTTTTTGCCAATTATCCATTAATTTCTTTTCATTATCTCTTGCAAAAAAAACAGAGCTGAAATGTGTCTCTGTACCCAGTGGAAAACATCCTGACTGCTTTATCACCTTGCTGTTTAGAAACAAAAGCAACTTTTCACAGGCAGACACCTTTATTCAAGGATTATAAAAGACAACAGAGAAATCTCCTTTGTCTTGAAGTAGGAAAACTTGATCAAAGGATTAGGTATTGAAGCCTCTCTAGGTAGTGAATGTATGAGTGGGTGAGTGAATGAATCCAATAGCTTGACCTAAGAACGAAGCATAGCAGGATCTGAATTTTGTGCTCTCTTTGGTTCTCTGTGCAGAACTTAAGAAGAGGATTACCTCAGGTTCCTTACTTCAGTCTCTATGGAGACCAAGAAGGTGCTTATGAACATCCAGGCTCCAGCCTTTTCCCGGAGGGTCCTGATGACTATGTCTTCAGTCATCTTCCACTCCACTCTCAGCAACAAGTGCGAGCTCCTATCCCCATGGTGCCCGTTGGTGGGATCCAGATGGTTCACTCCATGCCGCCAGCCCTTTCCAGTTTACATCCTCCACCCACGTTGCCCCTGCCAATGGAGGGCTTTGAGGAGAAGAAAGGCGCTCCTGGGGAGTCCTTCTCCAAGGACCCCTATGTGCTTTCTAAGCAGCATGAGAAGCGAGGTCCTCACGCTTTGCAGTCATCTGGTCCACCTAGCACTCCCTCCTCTCCTCGGCTACTGATGAAACAGAGCACTTCGGAAGACAGCCTAAATGCAACAGAGCGGGAACAGGAGGAAAATATACAGACTTGTACAAAAGCCATTGCCTCTCTCCGGATTGCCACAGAAGAGGCAGCTCTGCTTGGGGCAGATCAGCCAGCGCGGGTGCAGGAGCCCCACCAAAACCCCCTGGGAAGTGCACATGTTAGCATTAGACACTTTAGTAGACCTGAGCCAGGTCAGCCCTGTACCTCAGCCACCCACCCTGACTTGCATGATGGTGAAAAGGACAATTTTGGTACATCACAGACTCCATTAGCTCACTCCACGTTTTACAGCAAGAGTTGTGTGGATGACAAGCAGTCGGACTTTCACAGCAGCAAGGAATTATCTTCAAGCACAGAGGAAGGCAAAGATCCTTCGTCAGAAAAGAGTCAGCTACATTGATCTGCAATGCATGGAGACTTTCATTTCCACATTTTCCCATTGTTTTTGTTTTTGTTTTTCTAGAAATGGAGGTAATCAAGTTTATAGCATGCCTGTCCTAAGTTACAGTAGTTTGCTATTATATATACTTTTGTTATATCAAAAGAATTAGGTAAATTAACAAGTCATCATGAGCCTGACCAAAACAAAATTTGAAATTAACCTATTGGGTCTGGTACTTTTAAAATTGTACAGATGTTTGTGCCTTTTCTTTACTTTGCTTATATTCTTATAAGCATTTTTTAGCAGTAATTTGTACATATTTTAGAATTTGTGTATCTGCTTTGTAATAAATGTAATTTCTTTCCTTTTTTGGACACTTGGATCTAAATGATGTAAAGCAAAACAGCATCAATATATATGTGAGGTTGCACTAAAACATATTTTTATATGATTAAAACTGAACAGCTTTTATGTACAGCTCTGATTCTGTAATACTAATATTTATTTACTTTGTTTCATAAATTGTACATTTTTTCTTAATGTTGTGGATTGCTTTTCTATGTGAAGCATGGGATTTACTGTTGCGTAACTAGAACAAAAATGTACATTGTAAACAAGATATTTAAACTAGAGTATCTTATTCTGCACTTATGCATTAGTTAAAAAAAAAGATAAAGGATGTATCAGTCAGTTCTTAACTCTTGTATATTTTTTTGTCTCTTGTTTGCTGGATTGACTATAACTTAAGTGCTGATTGTGATTTTAAAATGATAGTACCGTAAAGCATTAAAGTAAACAATGTGCTATTGTGAGTTTTTTCAAAGCTTTATAAATCAGTTATAAATAATATTAAAAGTATTTGGTCTTATGTGAACATGTTGATCTATATACTCATCTAAAAATATGGGAAAACATTCCACCCCATGTAAATATGTACAAGTGCATCACTGGTACAATTTTATGTAACTCAGTTGGACACTAGGTTGCCACAGACCTATGCTAGGTGTCTTTAAAAAATTAAGGTGACAAAGCACATGGGACTGTGTAGAGCTTGGTTATCGGCCGGCCCGGTGGCTTGGCAGGCAGTGCTGTGCGCTGCTCATGGAGAAGACCTGGGCTTAGAGTCTCCTTAGTTCTTGCTACACAGGATGGTGACTGGAACTAAGGCTGCACAGAGGGTCGCACTTGGACTCTGAGGGTTGGGTGTGGAAGGGGGAAAAGGGGATGGAAACCTGCTCCCCAGCTCTTCCTGTCAGTCAGTTTACATGGGAACAGGGTTAACATCTGTTTTAGGGGAGGTCACCTTACCCTTTTGCATAGGGTAAGAGTGTCAGACTCCTGGCTATCTCAGGGGGAATGGAGAAAAGAATCTTTCAAGGGCAAAGAACTCGTGAGAGGATGTCTGTTGTATGTAATACTCACAATGGCTTTTGGTTAGTGTTGAAGGTGGGAAGAGCCTTTGTAGGTCCAGAAGAATGGAAGAGAGGGAGGGGTACAGCAACATGTGCACAGGCACGCACATGTGTGCACGCACACACACAATCTGGGTTATCTTTGTGCTATATAGTGGATTATAATTCTGTGAAACCAAGTTTGTATATTGAATTACATTAAGGAGTGTTCTTTAAAAAGAGAAATAAATATACAATTACATGCTTGAGGTGTCTAGTTCTTATGTGTTGCTTTACATTTTAATTTCCCAGTTTTGTTTCTAAAGAAATTTTGATACTAGCAACATACCATCTGTGCTTTTAATTGCCAGGCTCTGCCCATCCTGAGTATGAATGCTTTTAACAAGTGAGAAGACAGACATTGGCGTCCATAGATTATCTGATTAGAACAGATAGTGGTCACCAAGATGTGGGGCCTAGAAATAGACTTATCCAAACTTCATGGACCTGGGCAGCATACATTGCATCTGAACAGATTCTTGAATAAAGCAAATTATCATTTTCCCTTCTGCCTCTCTTGCAGTATGTATACTTATCTGAAATTCAACTGGGGAAACCTCTTCTTTCTTTTTGCTAAGGTGGCTGAAGCTAAGAATCAGCTAAAATATATCAGAAGATACCCACAAATCACAGTTCTTTTATTAGAATGAATAGAACCTTTTTAATAATGAAAGTAGAAGCTCATTAAAAGTCAAAACCTATTAGTATTTCCACTATAAAAATCTCAAATTGGTGGATTTACAATGTACGTACTTGCTTTTGTGAGCCAGACTGTCTTTTTAAACCATGTTTTACAAAGGTGAATTAAAGGTCAACACAGACACTCTAATATCTGTCTCTTACCGAGAAGAATCTTTTGATTATGTAGGGTGATTTGTGCGTCATATTCCTCATTGACTTGTGTGTGTGTGTGTGTGTGTGTGTGTGTGTGTGTGGGTGGGTGATCCCAGGCCAAATCAAATTACTCTGTTTCCTCCTCTACCTAATTCATCACTCATTTATTCACTCATTCATTCATAAAAGTTTTTGAGTGCCAACTCTATACTGGGTACTATGGTGGGCATTTATTTTTATTTTTATTTATTTTTTTGAGACAGAGTCTCACTGCAGCCCAGGTTAGAGTGCAGTGGTGCTATCTCGGCTCACTGCAACCTCCACCTCCCAGGTTCAAATGATTCTCCCATCTCAGCCTTCTGAGTAGCTGGGTCTACAGCTGCACGCCACTATGGCTAATTTTTGTATTTTTAGTAGAGACAGGTTTTCACCATGTTGGCCAGGCTGGTCTCAAACATCTGGCCTCAAGTGATCTGCCTGCCTCGGTCTCCCAAAGAGCTGGGATTACAGGTGTGACCCAATGCTCCCAGCCTGGTGGTGGGCATTTAGAATTAATAAAGAGTATTCATGCCACCAAGGAGCTGAAGTAAATAGGAAAGACATATCTGTGAGAAAATGCGGATAATATGATGTTTGAGCTAAAATAGTTGCACATTTGGTGTGTTTTATAACCACGAAGGGAGAGAGCAATCATCCTGCTGAGAATGGAGAAAGGCTTCATCACAGAGGTAGCCTTAGAACAGATCCTTGAAACCGTAAACTGACTAATTCATTCAACATAGCTTTTCATCACCTACACTGGAGTACTCTTTTGTGTGCTAGGTGTCCAATATGGCACAAAACAGGTAAAGTCCCTGCCTTAATGGAGTTTATATTCTAGAGGAAAGAGCATTATAAAAAAATTAGTGGGAAAACATGTTAGATGATCTGAGATGTGTAAACCAATTAATGTGTAAAAAGCAGCATGTAGCTGGCACCGTGGGTATATGGCAAGGTAGTACATGGTTAAGCTAGAAACACATATCAAAGTCCATTTTCCTAATCCAGCCTACAGATCTGGCTCTGTAAGCAATGGAGAACCAAGGAAGGATTTAAGCAATAAAGTGGCATTGCTATTGTTGTCGTTATCATTATTTTGGGAAAAATAAAACACTGTGGCAGCAGCGAAGATAAGGGAAATAAAAGCAGCAACAATCCAAACAAATGATGAGGACCTGGAGAAAGAAGGTACAGTTTTGCTTAATGAAGAGGAATGGTTGATAGCTAGACTGATTTGGTGCTGGGAGGAAAGAGATGGAGAAGTTAAAGATGATGAGTTTTTAACCTGGGCAATGGAATGAGGGTGGCATTATTCAGCCACAAAAGAGAGTGGATTTGTACAGAATGCTGATAAAGAAATGAGCTCTCCTTAGCAGTTCCAGAGGAGTTCAACCTCAAACAGGAGAGGCCAGAGCTGGAGACTGGTTTGTCAGTTCTTGTCTTTTATCATAGCTGAGAGCGCTGAATTGGATGAAATTCCTCAGGGTATATAAAAGGGTAGAAGAGGAAGTTTAAGGGTTTCCAAAGATAGACAAGGAACATAGGGGTGAGCAAAGGTATACTTCACAAGACACCACATCTCATCTGCTGAGCCTTAGTGATACAAAATTGTTTAATATTTTTGATAACTTGATTTTCTGTATGTTCCCCAAGATAATTTCTAGAAAACACAACTTTTAGAACATCATTTTCTGAGAAAAAAATCAACAGTATTTGTGGATTTACTATTAGTTAATATTTCCTTAGAAGCATATTAGTAGCTTTATTATTAAATAATAAATAAGAAGTTATTAAATTAACCTGTCATTTACAAATATCTTTTCCAAAACCTATAGTTAGAGAAGTTAGGTGAAGTTTTCAAGGAGAAATAGGTGGTTTATTGCAGAATCAAGGCTAAAACTGAGCTCCCAACTCTTTGTCCAGGTTTGCTTAAAGAACAGTTTCTGATGATTTATGCTCTTCTCACTTAGATTAAGGTTACAATTACAATAATTTACAGTGAGAGTTGTTGGGCTGAATGAACTCAGAATTTTACAAAAACAACAAAGCCTATTTCTGCCCTGGAAATGGTTTTTATTAGTTTAAAATATATTACTAAATGTGGTGGCATCTACTTGGCCACAGTACAGTTTTTTTCCCAGGGGCTGTTTGACATTATATAGAGCATCAGTTCCCATTAATTTCCGAATGTAGAGAAACATATGCTTATCCAGACTTTATATGCAACAATAAACCAGCTTGGCTATGCAGTAGTACTGAAGAACAGGGAAAGTGGGGGAAATTATTCTACTTGGCACCAAACAGTACCTAAAGATTAACAAGAAGAAGACACAAACTCTATTTTCTAGAACTCTCTAGATAGATCATTTTATGCATACATATCCGTTGCTTATCAACAACTAAGGCCACCTTCAGAAATATACATTTGACTGGATGTGTTGACTCGTGCCCGTAATTCCAGCTCTTTGGGAGGCTGATCCAGGAGGATTGCTTGAGGCCAGGGTTTCAAGACTGGAAACACACATTGGTTATCAAAATGAATCATATCAACAGATTTTCTCTCCATTCACCAAGTGCCTATAAATGTATTTCAGATTCTGCACTAGATCCCTGCCATGTCTTTTTATTTTTTTGAGACAGGATCTTACTCTGTCTCCTGGGCTGGAGTGCAGTGGCGCCATCTAGGCTCACTGCAACCTCTGCCTCCCTGACTCAAGAGACCTCCCGACCTCAGCCTCCGTAATAGCTGGGACCACAGGTGCCCGCCACCACGACCGGCTAATTTTCTGTATTTCTTTTGTAGAGACGGGGATCTCACCATGTAGGCCAGGCTAGTCTAGAACTCCTGGGCTAAAGTGATCTGCCCGCCTTAGCCTCCCAAAGTGCTGGGATTACAGGTGTGAGCACCGTGCCCAGCCCCTGGCATGTTTTATACAAGTAGATTCCAAGTTTTGTTACATTGTTGAAATACAAGTTTAATCCACATAGTTTGATGTGAATAAAATTTTGTTTTGGCAAAATTAAAATAAAATGATTAATGATCATACATTTCCTTAATTTATTAAAAATCATAGTAATAAAATATTTTAAAATGAAAACCTTTCTATCAAAAATGCCACTGGCCATGGTGGCTATCGTTTCCTACATGTTATTGTTGTAGCGTGTAGGAAAAATTACATACACACACATTGTACATGGTCCAGGGATCCAGGCCCTTTTATGGGGACAGCATCCCCATACAAAATCACTTATAGCTAATAATGATAAGTATTGTCTACTAGCCCTGTTTTAAGTGCTTTCATTTATTCCCTTATTTAATAGTCACAAAACTGAGTCAAATAATTTGCTTAAGTTTTCTCAGCTAGTAAATAGAAGAGGCAGTTAGGCTCTAAAGTGGTGCAGTGCAGTAAAACTTTCTGCAATGGGAAAAAAATGTTCCGTATCTGCACCTTTCAATACAAGAGCCTATGGCTACACATGACTGGAGCACTGGGAATGCAGAGAGTGCAAGTGATAAACTGAACTTTTAATTTTATTTAATTATATTTAAATTAAACTTCACAAGTGTCTAGTGCTTCCTGAATCGGCCAGCCACCTCTGCAGACTGCACCCTTCCCCTCTGCACAGGGTGCACCACCCACCTCTATAAGCACTCACCATTTGACAGCTATTGAGGTTCTATCACATGGTGGCTCTGTTCTTGGTGCTGGAGCTATACCAATGAACAACAACAACCAAACCACAACAAACCCAAAAATCTGCTATTAAAAAACTTGGGTTCAGTACTTATCACTAAATATCTAGTTAAGGATTCTGGTGATCCAATCCTATTGACTGCTTCTGTTTCCACTGAGTTTTGGAACTTGGAACTCACTCAAGCAATAACAGCCAAAGTGTGCTTTTACGAAGAAGTAAACAGGCATCTCATAGGCCACTCTTCCTCCTCCTGCCAGAAATCTGTTTAAAGCAAGGGTGGAGAATATATCCCATTCTCAGGATTCATGTGGGGTCTCTCAGTTCTGCCTTGGTATAAATGCATATGACCCCTTGTGGGCCTAAGGGAAGAGAGATGTAGCTGGGCTCCACGAGGGCCCTGACTCCCCTACTGCTTCTGCATAGGATGTAGAGTCTGTGAAGAGAGCGCCCTTGCTCCTGGAAGCCTTGCCTTGCTTTCCTACTGATCACATGTTATTAAGTAAACAGAAGACAGAAGGAAGGAGTCTGCCATTTCTTCTCCCTCCACAGTGAAGAGTGGAGGAAGGAAAGAAACAGAGGGGTTTTCTTTCTCTAGCCAAGTGGCCTTCCTGACTGTAAAGCAAGGGGTCTGAGGAAAA